ATAAGTTATATAATATCAATATTTATAAATCCATCGATAATTGAAAAAGTGGTAAACATTTTAATATTTATAATTTATTTAATTTATTCTTAGCTTAAATCATGTGAACAAATAGTGATTAGTAATTGAATATTTCATAGTTTAGAGAATAATTACAATTATTTCTATGATAAAAAGTGTTCAAGATTTTTAGAATATTAGAATATGCTGTCAGGGACATAATGTTAAAATAAATTATTTTAAATATTTAAATCCTATATTTAAAAATAGTTTAACATAATTTTAATATAATTTTAAATTCCCAGTTAAACATGGTAGATTTTGTTGTCTTTATATTGTATCAATGATCAAATAATGTTTTGATTAATAAAATTGCCGGCAGTTCAATCATGGAAAAATAAAACCAATAATTATAGCGACAAAGTGTCTGTTAAATTAAATATGATAAATAATTGGAAAACACATCAACTATTTGAAGGTAAACTTCCAGTGAAACGTGAAATTTCTGATTACGCGTGAAACAAATGATGCAATTTTTAAGATCCAAACATGTGTTCAATCATTGGATTGTAAACCAGTTTTCTTATCAAATAGTCGTCAATACTCTGATTCTTCATTAGTATATAAAGTGTTGCTTTTCTATCGATAAGTTTATTACATGCTCAACACTTATTTATTAGTTATTAGCTAAACTTCAATTATATTATATTTTATTTATTTTAATTTATTGTTCTAATAATAAAGTTATGCCTCTTTTAACCGAAAGATCTGTCTCTCAAATACTCTCTTCAATTGCAAACAGTGACAGCAAATTGAAGAATAATTGTGTGATACCTATTCACCACAGTTTGTTGGATGTGTCAGTCATAACACCCAAGAAATCACTGGCCGAACGAATTCCGGCATTTGGTCTCTTGTGTGCCATTCTTTCGGTCATCTGTTGGTCATTAAGTTCATTGATTGTCAAAGTGCTCACAGATTTGCATTCAATTCAGATATTGGTTATTAGGTTAGTATTCATTTATTGTACAATCATTTATCAAGAATTCTTATTAAGAATTTGTTAAATTCTGTTATTAATCCAATTATATTTAATATTATTTATATTTTTTTAAACAGATCACTATTTCAATTGGTATTCTATGGAGTATCCATTGCTGTCAACAAATATCCATTATTTGGTGAACCGGGACATCGCATAGACTTACTATTGCGAGCCGTCTCAGGAACGATAGCCCTTTCATCAGTATTCATGGCCTACCGATTGATGCCGTTTTCAGACGC